TCGAGAGAAGAAGGTTTTGGATTTGAAAGGTTTGGAACGATACGAAGCGGTATAAAATGTTTCTTATGATTGTTATCAAACGCCAATAATTGCTACCATCCGCAAACGTTGCCACTCACAAACACAACGTTTGCGGGTGGTATCGGGTCAACCCTTTGATAAAGGCATGAATGAAAAGTTAAGAAAAAGAAATGAAGAATTGGGGTGAGAGAGACTCAGTAGCTATGAGACCTACGCGCTAGCCAACTGCGCCACCACCCCAATCGATGTTGAGATCATCCTCATAAGCAATTTGTCTGTAACTGTTGCAGCTACCCATTACCAATCTCTTTCCTCTCTGGAGTTTGTGAAGCAGCGAACCGATCGCATCTCTAAGGTATGGCCTTTTCCCTTGACTTTTTGGTTTCATTTCTCTCTCGTCTTCTTTTTAGGGTTTCGCTCAGATCAATCGCCGAGATTTGTTTCTGGGTTTAGCATCGAGAATCCTCCCAATCTCCGGGAAATGAAATCCTTCGTTTTCTTAGTCCGAAAAGGCGTAATCTTTACCTTGTTTTCGATTCGCTGTTACTGATTCTTTGGCTGTGTGATTTCGAATTGATGGCTTAGTCACGAATCTCCATAAGCTTTGCATTTATTGGTTTTACCCTTTTAGGATTTCCAGTTTATCTCTTCATGGGGCTCTTATGGTTCTTGCTTGAATGCATTACTCTTTATGGTATAGAAACTGATGAATAAGCTAAACGTTGTGACATTAAAGCCTTATAGAAAGAAATCTTTGTTTGTTCGTTTTCAGTGCTAAAACATCTATATATATAGTTTTGAGAGCATGGATGAGAACAAAGAAGGTTCAAGAGGCATCATCAGTGACCTCATGATCCGTCGTATGAAGAATCGAGAAAGGCAACGCAAGTATAGAGAGAGGAAACTGCTGAGAGATGAAGCGGAGTCGGAAGCAGAGAGTTATGGCTACGTTGAGAACTTTGCGCGGCGTGTTTACTGCTGCAGAGACTGGAAACAAGATGCTAGGAAGGTTCACTTGATGAACATAACTCATTCTCAGAGAGATTGGAAAGCAGAAGCTAGGAAGATGAAAATTTGAACCTTTTCGCAAGAAACTTTTGCGCGCTGCGGAATTCAGACTATCTAGCAATGGTAAAACCAGCTTCTTTGACTCTATTGATTATGATTTAAGAATATGAAAGCATAATGAAAACATCTTGAGGTCAGTTCTTTAGGAAAAATGACTGTATATATATGTGTGAACCTTTATAGATTTTGTCATGTTGGATCCAGAAAAATCCAGAAACTTTACAAAATCTTACAATTTGAAAGGAACAGAACAAGTCAAACAAGAAGAAGAACATTAGAAGAAACCTGTCTTATTCTTTTATTGTCTCTTCAATTCTCATCTCTCTTTGTTTCTTTAGATCCTCAAAGCTCCAATCCCTTCTGATCCCACTGCTTCTGACCAGCTTGGGCTCATCCAGATCACCATAGACCACGATCTCCGCGCTGTAAAGCCTGCGATGACCCTGTTTGACCCGTCTCACTACGGGCAACGATGATCTGTTCCTTACCATCTTGTCATACCTTGAAGTTGCGAAATTTTCTTTGAAGTTTGAATCTTTACGGCTTCCCATTTCTATATCCGAGTCTGATCTTTGCAGGGAGTGGCAAGCGAGGCAGTTCAGGCTCATTGTTTTCGAAAATCTGATCGAAAAGTGATTTTGAAAGGGTGTTTATGTTCTCGGTTTTGATTTGTTTGAAATTAATAAGAAGAGGGGAAAGTGTAGGCTTTGTGGTATTACAGAGAGAACTCAAATCATTTGAATCCCAAATGACAATCTTTGTGGGATGTTCCTTCTTTATATGGATAAAAAGTTCAAAAGAAATCAGTTTTTTTCAGTCCAAAATGGAAACCTTTTTTATTGGGTTTCAATTGTGTTGTTGATGAATTAGGGGAAAACTTTGTCTTGTAAATGAAGAAAGAGAAATAAAAACATATCACAAATATATCCCTTTTGGTTTGCTTTATTTTTAGGGTTTGATGTTTAGTTAGATAAGAGAGAGTTTTTATCCGTAGATGCTTTTTAGGAAGATTCTATTTGTGGACAACTCCTTTTTGAGTTAATTTAAAATTATAATTAGACATTTGTTCCGCGTTGCGATATTTACAAATAGAAATCGAAACTTTTTATTTTATAAACTGGACTTTCAGTTCATAATCTTCCTCAACATCCAAAATCGACGTTTAGATATTCTGATTTAAATAATAGTTCTCTTTTCAAAAAAAAAAAATTGAATCGGGGACACACAAGGATAAAAAA